GGGTGAGGGGTTTTGAGGGGCTGCCGCGCGGCAGGCCGGGGGGGGGGGTGATGCAAAGACGGCTGCAGGTGCGGCTTGGTGCGGCACAGCCGGCCGCGCGTGATGCTGTGCGTCGTAGACACAGGGGATGGACACCGTGAGGGCAGCACTGCTCACTCTGAGCCGATCGCTATGCCTTTGCGCGCGCAAGTGCATTCACACACAAAACACACTCACACACACGCGTGCACACACACACACACACACACACTTAGACACACACACACACACACACACACACAAACACACACACAAACACACCCATGTGCACCCATACCCAGCCCTTCTCCTAGCTCATCACACCCAACCCCACCTGGTACACGTGCGTGGGGCTGCGGCCGTAGGGCAGCGCCACGCGCACCGGCCGCCCCAGCACCGCCGCCTCGGGCGTGCCCGGCGCCACCGACGAGTCCACATAAAGCGTCCGCGCCACGCGCAGCGGCACTGCGCGGGACCGGCAAATCCGCGGGGGCGGCCAGGAGACGTTGAGAGGGGGCGACAGTGCAGCAGCCAGCGTTCAGAGAGCGCGTCAAAAGGCAGAGCACGAGGGCGTGTGGCGCTCAGAACGGCAGGCATGCGGCGATGCGCCTGCTTTTTGCGCCCCCTCTTCGTCGCTTTTGCACCCTTGAGCATCCTGAGCCCTCAACATCGTCTCCAAAATCCCTGATCCCTCAGCCTCATCCCCATCTAAAAGCAACGCAAGTCTAGGGTTTCAGGTTTAGGCTTCCCGTCCCCCTCGTCACACCTGCGTAGAGGGCGCTGTCCACCAGCACCCAGGCCTTGAACGTGCCGGGGGTGGCCGTGGCCGCCAGCTGCAGCAGCTGCCAGTGGCCCGCGGCCGCGCGCGCCTGCTGCTGCCGGAAGAAGCGAGCCACGTTGCCCGTGGGCGCGAGCTGCGGGGGAGTCAGGGTGGCGGGGGAGAGCCGGGGTTCCGGTTCGTGCGTGGACTTTTGATGTGGGATCGGAGAGGAAACGCGTGTGAGGCGGGGTCAGGTGGTGTCAGCAGGGCAACGCTGACAATGCGCTGCAGCTGAGCAGCTTGGATTCGAAAAAAAACTGACTGCGTAAACGAAGAAGGAGCGGAAGAAGGAGCGGAATCGCCCGGCAGCCGCCCTGGTGCGTAGCGCTGACGACCCGCCCAGACCGACTGAGACAGCCGCGACTCACCGCCGCGGGCTCGCCGTCCGGCCCGCCAGCCGCCGCCGCCGCCGCCGCGGGCCGCCTGGCCGCCTCCACCTTGCGCCGCTTGCGCTCCTGCCGCACCTCCCGCCACTTCTGCTTCTGCCACGCCACCCACGCCCCGTAATCAGCCCGCCGGTCCGGCCGCGGCTGCCCTGGCTCCGCCGCCACCGCCCGCCGGCCCGCTCCCTGCGCGGCGCCCCCTGCCTCCTCGCCTTCCGCCGCCGCCGCGCCCGCCTGCTCATCATCATCTTGCTCCTCCTTGATGACATCACCGTCCTCCAGGCCCGCCTCCCCCAGCCGCCGCTGCTCCTGGTCTGCGCTGCCCGCGCCCGCGTCGCGGGCCGCGCGGCGGAGGCGCACGCGCGCGGTGGCGGCCGCGCCGGCGCCTGGGCGGGGTGGCGGCAGGTGCAAGCCGGGTCTGCTTCGGCCTCGGCCATTATTTTCACAGGCAGAGGGCCCAACCTCGTGCCACTGCCTTCGAACCAAATCGCTCCTGCCAACAAAGACACCCTCAACACTGGCAGACTCTCTACAACCCACAAGTCCTAAAACACTCAAACACTAAACCCTGCCCCAGAACCCAGGCAGCGACCCCCAAGCCCACCTGCCCCCTTGCCGCCGCTCAGCAGATCCTCTATGTCCCCCACAGCCGCCCCTTTGGCCCGCCGCCGCGCCGCGGCGGCCCTTACAGCCTCCTCCCCCTCATCCCCCGCCACGTCGTCCCCGCCGCCGCCGCCGCCGCCCGCCGCCGCGCCTGCGTCCGCCTTGGCGCGCGCCTGGCGCTCCCGCTGCTCCGCAAACAGGTGGTCCAGGCGCAGCTGCTGGCTGCGGCTGTCGCGCTCGCGGACGCGCTTGTGCAGCCAGTCGGGGTGCTTCACCCTGTGGAGCGGCGCGACGCCAGGTCAGCTTGACGCTGCAAACACACAACTGCAACACAGCCGCGGACATCGACATACTCCCAACGCCCCATACTGCGCGCGCCAGGGGGAATCGGCGTTGCTGGCGGCATGACAAACCCCTAACCCCGAGCAACGCGCAAATCCCGAAACCCGTGGCTGCCACTCGCCTGGGCACGGGGTTGGCCACGTGCTGCATGGCGGCGGGGATGGATATGATCTTCTGAATGGCGCTGCCCAGGCGGTCCTTGTAGTACTGCCAGTCCACGATGTCCCGCACATCAGGCACGCATGAGGGCGGGGCTGGGGGGGAG